GAAATTGAAATCTTTTGTAACATTATAAATGTCTTTACTGTCACTTTCAATTTAAAGCATCTGAATAAACATAAAAAACTTAAAGAGCTCAAACGATGGTTTAAAAGACATGAACACATTTCCACCGCAAGAGTAAAAATGTAAAAAAGTAGTAAAATGAAGGTTAAACTGAGATGTAAATTGACATTGTGGAAAATAAAGTTGCAATTGCATGAAAATAAATAAAAAATGAATAGAAATCAAGTCAAAGTTGTGAGATATGGTCACATTGTGAAATATATAAAGTTGCAATTATGAGAAATACAAAGTTACTTTTTTAACAAGGTGTCCATATTTTATCCGAATTACCTAATTAATTTCCTTATCTTTCATTTTGGGTAAAACAATTAAAAGAGCATCACTTGTTTTGACTCTGGAAGAGCTCAGGTGCAGCTGGAACAAGAACTACTGTTGGATGGGACAGTGGTCAGTGCAGCGTTTGATGATGTCATGGACATGGGGATTGTGGGTACGACAGCAGGAACCCTGTGGTACATCAACTGGGCCGACAGCACCAGTATACGGCTGATCAGCGGCCATAAGAGCAAGGTACGACACTTAACCGCTTAAGCTTTTATCAGCAGCTGTTAAATTCATCCATAGCGAACTCTGAAATGGTTCTAAAAGCAACACTACTTCTGTCCAAAATGCTCAAGTTTGTGTTCTTATTGTAGGTGAACGGTGTGCTTTGCAGTCCAGATGAGCAGCATTTTGCCACCTGTGGGCAGGACGGCAGTGTGAGAGTTTGGGCGCTGCAGAGCCACGAGCTGCTGGTCCAGTTTCAGGTGCTGAACCAGGTGAGCATAAACACACAGATGAACAGAAGTAGAAGCTCTAGCCACTGGGGCTTTTTTTATTATTAAATGTATTAAATTACAAAATGCATGGACAAATTTCATGTTTGCTCAATCAATGACTGCGTGTCAGACAGTTTATAGGAGGTCATAGTAGCCAACCATCTGAGCACAAAATTCGTTCACATGACTTTTTTATTGGGTAAAAGTGTTTTCATCCTTGTTCATGTGCGTGACTTCTTGCCAAATAATAAATGTGTCCACCTCAAGGTTTTTTTTTTTAACTTCTGCAATTTATTTATTAGTTATTATAATTTTGGACATTTTATTCACATTTTTTATCCAGAATAGTTTTAATGCGATAGAGCCATCAAACATTTTAATGCAAACTTTGGAGGTTTTTTTTATTTTTATGAAATTAATTATTTTATTCAGCAAGTATTCATTAAACTGATCAAAAGTGACAGTAAAGTCATTTATAATGTTACAAAAGATTTCCATTTCAAATCAGTGCTGTTCTTTTGAACTTTCTGTTCATTAAAGAATCCTGAAAATAAATGTATCACGGTTTCCACAAAAATATTGAACAAAAAATAAATAAAATAAAAATAATAACTGTTTTCAGCATTGATAATAATAAGACATGTTTCTTGAGCAGCAAATCAGTATATTAGAATGATTTCTGAAGAATCATGTGACACTGAAGACTGGAGTAATGATGCTGAAAATTCAGCTTTGCATCACAGGAATAAATTACATTTTACAATATATTGACATAGAAAACAGTTATTTGAAATTCTAATAATATTTCACAATATTATTGTTTTTACTGTATTTTTGATCAAATAAATGCAGCCTTGGTGAGCGTAAGACGTCATTAAAAAAAATGTTTTTAAACATTTTACTGACCTCTAGCTTTTAAATGGTAGTGTAACTTGGCTAATGGAATCATTGCTAATCTTTCTCTGGTCGCCAGTCAAACTCTGAATATCAAATTCATTTACCATTGCAGTTAATTGATTAATTGTGTCTCTGTATGTTTCTCTGTATTGCAGAGCTGTGAGTGTGTGTGTTGGTCTCCTCCGAGGGGTGTGTATGAGCCCAGCGGGCGCGTGTGTGTTGCGGGCGGTTACAGTGACGGGACTGTGAGGATCTTCAGTCTGAAGTCGGCCGAGATGGAGCTGAAACTACAACCTCAGCCTGTGTCTGTGTGCGCGCTGCAGTACTCGCACTACGGTGAGTGTGTGTGAGTGCTTTGTGTCTATGTGAGCATTTGTGTGTTTGTGTTCACTATATGCATGTGTGTGTATGTGTAGGTCATGTGCTGTTGTCTGGTGGTCGTGATGGTCTCATTACTGTCAGCAGTCCCGTCACTGGAGTCACTGTACGCACCATCCGTGACCACAAGGGGGCGCCCATAACTACAGTGCAGTGCACCAGCAAACAGGTTTGGGCTTGTGTGTTTGTTTTTGTGGTTTTCTGTTTTGCAAGGCAAATGTATGATGTGGAATTGTGGGCCATACCTAGAAAATATTTGGACACTGAAGTCCACATGAATTTGATTCAAAGACAGATCTTAAATATGAAGAAGAAAAGTGAAATTTAGTGAAGGAAAATGATTCTGTAGTGTTTGAGATACAAGGACACAGATACTCAATGACATTGTCATATTTTAAAGTGTGACTTAAGTGTCCAAATACTTACAGGGTCGTTGTAATGCAATTTAAATAAAACCGAGATCACAATATAGTTTAGCGCTGTTATCGTAAAGGCAGTGATTGAATTAAATATATGTGCTGTGTGTTTCAGAGTGAAGCTTTTACATGCAAGCTGCTCACAATGGTTTAGCATTTGAACATGAAGAGTTTAGCACAGCCGTAAATATTAGTATTGTGCAGATGTACTGTAAAATAATTGTTTTTTTTTTTTTCTCAAATACTCCATTGTTTTATTTTACAGTGAAATATTACAATAGTAAAATTTATTATTTTGTTTAATATTTTTATTTAGTAATAGTAATAATGATTATAATGAATAATAAATTGTTATTATTATTATTATTAATAATTATATTAATAATTATAGTTATATTGATATACAATTTTTTAAATACTCATTTTTGTATTTTACAGTGAAATATTACAATAGTAACATTTCTTATTTTCTTATTTCTTATTTTATTTTATACTTTTATTATTTTTATTATTTCATAATTTATTATTGTTATTAATTATAGTGATTTTAATATATGGTCACTTTTTTTGTAGGCCAAAAATGTTGTTTAATATTTTTTATTTAGTAATAATGATATGTAAAATAAATAATATTAATAATATTTTTTTTTTTTATTATTGTTAATAATAATAATGAATATAGTTATATTGATATATAATAATTTTTGACCAGATTGTGCAGCCCTACAAACAAACCCAGCAAACCTGGAGCATATTTTTATTGCATTTTAAATTTTAATCAGATAACTCGCAATTCGATCCCCCCCAAAACGTGTAGCACTACTGCCGAGTGATTTAATGTGTGTGCTGATATAAATGTCTTTTAGTATAAGGAGTTTGGACTGGAGGGAAATGAGCTCTGGTTGGCTGTAAGCGCAGACAGGCGTGTCAGCATCTGGGCTGCTGATTGGATGAAGGATAAATGTGAGCTGCTTGATTGGCTGACATTTCCAGCGCCCAGCCCACCAGAGGTGATTAATATTCATGAGTATTAGGCCAATAAATATTCTCTGAACTTGTTTGTATATCATTTACGCTTATGTCTCATCGAGCTGCTCTGATTATTCACATGTGTTTATTGTAGTTGAAAAGACTAAGAAGTAACTTTTTTTGTCTTTTTAATCAGGATGCACTGGCATTACCACCTAGTTTGGCTGCGTTCAGCCCCAGTGAGAGAGGAACAGTGGTTTATACCGGCTACGCTGTGGAAAAAGAGATCATCTTTTACTGCCTTTACAAAAAACAGGTACTGAAGCACTCGCTCTCGGCCTTTATACACATGACTGTGTATCTCATTCTTTCTCTCAACACACTTTTATTGGCCAAGTAATGTCATTGGTTCTGTGTGTATTTTTGTTTTATAGGTTTTGAGGACGATCTCTCTGGCCGATTGGGCACTCTGTCTCGGTCTCTGCTCAACTGGAAGACTGATCGCTGTTGGATCAAACCGTTAGTGTGCTGTTTTACTTGAAAGCATAAGAAGGAAAGTGTTTGAGTTATGTAGTCATATATAACTCAATGCTTTGTGTTTCAGAGCGCGTCCTGAAGCTGATTCATTCATCCAGCGGGCGTTTTCAGGATTTCACGTCTCACAGTGACTCGGTTCACGTGTGCAGCTTCAGCTGGTCTGGATCTCAGCTCTTCACCGCTGCTCATAATGAGCTCTTACTGTGGACTGTACACGGATTATAATGCTGACACAACACTAACGCTAGAGTTTGAGAGTTTGACTCCTCTCACTTTGGATTGCACTAGTTACTCTAGAGTCAGAGTTAGTTTTTCTGTTTAGTAGAAATGTTGCATTGATGTCGCAGAGCAGTTTTGCCATGTTTTACATCCAGTTAGCATGACTTGAAGTTTAAATAATAGGAGTTTTTTTAATCTTTAAATTAGTTTTTAATGATTTCGATACACTTGGGAAAAGTTGGTTGTCGGTTTTTATACTTTTACACTGTTTAAAATGATTTTGCTAGTAAGAAAGACCCTGGTATTGTTATGCACTTTGAGCCTCAGAAATAAAATTCATAAAAAATGAAGTACTCGCGTTGCATTAAATAAGGCCATTACTATCTATCTATCTATAGACATTTTATTTTTGAACATTTTACTATATGAATTGTTGTATTTTAATGCTTTTAATGGCATTTCAATGTATTTCCCACAAATTACTAAAAAATATGGGCCAATATAGCCAAGGTAATCATTATTTAATCCCCCTTTTTTGTAAGAGTCAAAAAAACGTAATTAGCATAACTGTTTATTATTTATTTTTATAAATATATTTTAATATTTACTGTTTAATATGTATAATGTACTTATAATGGAAAAGTAGACAATAAATATATAAAAACAAAAAAAGAAAAGGAAAAGATCAAGCAAATTAAAAAGCGAAGGAAATGAACGGTAGAGGGCGCTCCATTTGGGCTCCAACCGGAAGTCTGTAGAGGTGACAGTTTCTTTGGATGGAATGGGGCTAGCCAGAAACTAGTAGCACTGGGCTTTGAACTGAATTTGAAGTTTTCCGAAAAGATAGCCGCAGCGTGTCAGAGAGTTCAATAGAGAGCGGAGTGAAATGAAACGCGATGTCCGGATACTGCTGTTGGGGGAACGTAAGATATCATTTCTTTTAAATATCAAGGGAATTACATGTGAGAGTTTAATGAAAGTTAGCATGATTAAGAGAGCGCTAACCGTCAACCTTGAGCTGCTGCAGAAATGATCTGAAGTAAACGCGCTGCACTCTTCAATTATCGATTCATTTAGTGCTTTTTTCTTTGTGTGTTAAATCAGAACACACGAAAATGTAATTTATTCATTTGACAGTTCAGTCAAACTTTAGAAGTTTAATTAGACATTAAATATCGGTTAATTAAACACCTTCTTTATTTAGTAGATATTTGCATGTGATACATATTCAGATATATGCATATTAAAACTCATTACACACTTTCATGTGCATTGTATTTAGTAGACAGTAGTATATTTGTTGGCTTTGATTTGTTTTGTCACTTTATTATTTGTTTTGCATGCCGGTTTTAAGGAGAGTAATTTTGCTTAGATTTATTTATTTTATTTATTTGTATATATATATTTGTGTGTGTGTTTGTATATGAATGGCAAAATCTGTTCATTGATTGTTCGGCCAGTGATTGATAATGAAGGTGTTGGCATGTAACTATCAAGGTGTGGAGTTTGTGCCTAGTTAAACATCAAATGAACCTGTGACACAATGCACGTATTCATAGAGAAACTTCAACCGCTCTGATAATAATACTGTGGATGTAAATATATCCTTCAGAAACTGATGCTGATTTGCTGCTCAGGAAACATTTATTAATATTATCAATCATGTTGAAGCAGCTGTGCTGCTACATATTTTTGTGGAAACCATGATACATCATAATTTATTATGTAGAAATCTTTTGTAACATTATAAATGTCTTTAATGTCATTTCAATTTAACACAGCCTTACTGAATACAAGTTTTTTTTTAATTATTATTATTATTATTTAATTTATTATTTTTATTTTAAAGGATCATGTGGCACTTAAGACTGGAGTGATGATGCTGAAAATGCAGCTTTACATCACAGGAATAAATTACATTTTAAAATACGTTAAAATAGCAATAATATTTCACAATATTACTGTATTTTTAATCAAATAAATGCAGCCTTGGTGAGCATATCTGATGTCTTGAATTAGATAGTATGTGTCATTTCTTTAGGCAGCGCACACGTTTTGTTTCGGCATTAGTGTTACATTTATTCCATGCCTGCTGCGCTCAAGTCATGTCCTTACTATGTTATTAGTTTTATCTCTTAACTGACCTTTTAAGCTCAAGGTGAACACCAGCAGGAGTGACCAGTGTGCTTTCTCAACTTGCTTATTAATAAGAGCAACATTTATAAAAGTTACAGAAGTACAGTACAGTTTTAGCCCGACACATCACATATGAGATTTAGCACTGATGAAGGATTGGAAACACTCTAATAAAACCAGAAATCAAACTGATTTGCAATGGAAATCACAGCAGAGGCGTTTGTGATCGTGGCTAGAGTCATATAAACTGTGGGAACGTGTTTATTGAGATGAAATATTTTTCTGTCCTTTGTTTCCCTGTAGCCAAAGTGGGAAAGACCTCTCTCATCATGTCTCTGGTTGGAGAGGAGTTTCCTCAGCAGGTGAGTTTACCCATGAGCCTCTCTGGTGTGTGTTTGTCTGATGCAGTAAGAGGAAGCTCATGCGTTTGTGCCGTCAGGTTCCTCTCCGGGCGGAGGAGATCACCATACCAGCCGACGTCACGCCTGAGAAAGTGCCCACACATATAGTCGACTATTCAGGTGTGTGTGTCGAATGACATAATATTTGCCCTAGTGTTTTATTAATACTTATTATCTCTCTACAGAAAGTGAACAGTCTGATGAAGTGTTGAGGGAGGAAATCGTAAAGGTGAGAAGCCTCCTGATCTTGTGTGTATAACAAGCCATAAATCACATCTCTTTCATGATATTCATAGTTTTTGTCCTAACCAGCTGCAACCACGGCTGCATTCATTTGACAAAAATACAATAAAAACAGTGATATAGTGAAATATTATTTAAATGTAAAACAACTGTATTCTATATGAATATATTGTAAAATGTAATTTATTCCTGTGATCACAGCTGAATTTTCAGCATCATTACTCCAGTCTTCAGTGTCACATGATCTTCAGAAATCACTCTAATATGCTGATTTATTATCAGTGCTGGAAACTGTTGTGCTGCTTAATATTTTTATGGAAACCGTGATACATAGTTTTTTTCAGGATTCTTTGACGAACAGAAAGTAAAAAAACCAGCATTTATTTGAAATAGAAATCTCTTGTAACATTATAAATGTTGTTACTGTCACTTTTGATCAGTTTAATGCATCACTGCTGAGTAAAATGTTTTTATTTTTTTGATCTTATTTAACACCAAATTTTTAATGGTTGTGTGTGACTGTTTCCACGAATATTATGAAACAAAAACATTTATAGTAATTTTCAACATTTATAGTAATAATAGTTAAGAAATATTTCTTGAGCATCGAATCAGTGATATTTCACTATATATTAAATAAATATTAACATAAATATTACTATTTTTACTGTATTTTTGATTAAATAAATGCATATATATATATATATATATATATATATGTGTGTGTATGTGTGAGAAATGTATGTGATTATTACATGAATTTTATATGATTGTTTTCTCATTTGTAGGCCAATGTTGTGTGTGTGGTTTATGATGTCACACAAGAGGAAACCATTGACAAGGTATTAAATTAACATTATCTGTATATTTTTGTCTCTTATTTTCCCTGAACTGATTTTATCCTATTTTTTTCTCTCAGATCAGGACTAAATGGATTCCGCTGGTGAACGGTGGTGCTGAGAAAGGAAGCAAGTATGTTCTTGTATTCTGTTCTTATGTGAGTGTATCTGCATTTTTTAGGAGTTCCATAAAAAATTTCTCTTTTTGTTGCCGTAGGATTCCCATCATCCTCGTGGGCAACAAGTCCGACCTGCGCTCCGGCAGCTCCATGGAAACCATTCTGCCAATCATGAACCAGTTTTCAGAGATTGAGACCTGTGTAGAGGTTCGAACCGCTGACCACACAAACTCAAATAAATCTTATATGACACACATGTGACCCTGGAGCACAAAAGCAGTCTTAAGTTGCTGGGGTATATTTGTAGCAATAGCCAACAATACATTGTATGGGTCAAAATGATTGATTTTTCTTTTATGCCAAAAATCATTAGGATGTTAAGTAAAGATCATGTTCCTTGAAGATATTTTGTAAATTTCCTACCGTAAATATATCAAAACTTAATTTTTGATTAGTAATATGCATTGCTAAGAACTTCATTTGGACAACTTTAAAGGAGATTTCTCAATATTTAGATTTTTTTGCACCCTCAGATTCCAGATTTTCAAATAGTTGTATCTCAGCCAAATATTGTCCTATACTAACAAAGCAATGGAAAGCTTATTTATTCAGCTTTCAGATGATGAATAAATCTCAATTTCAAAAAATTGACCCTTATGACTGGTTTTGTGGTCCATGGTCACATTTATTTCACATATGAATGTGTGAAAGGGGTAATTTATCCTACTTTTTTAGTTAAATTTTCTCCTGAAGTCATCTTACAAAATGAGACGAGGTTTCTCACTATAGAAAATCAAATATAGATGTTTTTCATGACCATTTTTCACCCTCTCTATGACCTGACACTGTTTTTGCAGCTGTACCTTTAAGAATTCTATTTATAAATGGAGGATATAAATATTCTATATTATATTATTCAAGTTCATTTTGCAAACCGGAGAGGATGGTTTGCTTTGTGAATGTTATGGTTTGTCTATATTGAAACTGTATTTCAGAAGCTCCAAAGAAACTGTTTTTTTAATAATTTAAAGTGTTTTTGGTTACTGATGCTGTATTGAATATTGAAAATGTAATGGTTCTTTCTTAAAACCTAGTCAGCTTTCTACCTAGATGGCGTCTTTTTAGCCTAAATGGCCAGAAATACGGTTTATGAATGTATGATATAATATAAATGATGATGTATTTGTGTCTGCAGTGCTCAGCTAAGAATCTGAAGAATATTTCCGAGCTCTTTTATTACGCCCAGAAGGCCGTTCTACACCCGACTGCTCCGCTCTACGACCCTGAAGACAAACAGGTACATACACACACACTGCTACATCTCTGCCCGGCTTCATCTTATGAGTTCATACAAGATTTCTGAATGTTTGTGTGTGTTTTGTGTAGCTGAAGCCGCAGTGTGTTCGAGCTCTGAGTCGGATCTTCAGTATCTCTGATCAGGATAATGATCACATACTCAGTGACGCTGAACTCAACTGCTTTCAGGTGAGCAAACAAAAAAGAAATGTGCAGTTGCTTTGAGGCCTTTATTAACCCTCTCTGGAGAATAGACGTCTTAAATTAGCCCTGCAATATTCAACAAAGTTATCGACTCACAAAAATAATCCAGCGTACCAAGCAGTTTTTTCACCTCAGTTCTCTTTGCTGTCTGACAAAAAAACCAAGGAGTATTCGTCCCTTCAGATTGCGGATTAAACCCCATCTGGAAAATATAAAAGTTGATTTAAATGTACTTCCAGCCAAACACACTTTTGTTGTGTTCCCCTCTGTCATAATCATGGATCTAACTCATCCAAATGATTACCACATACAACTTTTAAGTATTAGAGAAAGTTTTATGCAGATGGGTCAAAGACTGAAGATGGTGTTTCAGCTGGCTTTGTGGTTAACCATCAGAAAAGTGGAGTACAGATTCCTCATTATAGTTCAGTTTTCACTGCAGAAGCCAATGCTAGCATTTTGGCATTGCAACATATAAAAATTTCTCAGCAGCAAATTTCCTATTAATGACAGACTCAAAATTTTGTCTTCAGACTCTGGCATCCACCAAATATGAACATCCAGCAATGGTGGAAATTTGAAATAGTTTGCAGTCCTTGGAGGCACAGAATCTTAAAGTCATTTTTTTGTTGGGTACCAGGGCATTGTGGTATTGAACAGGCTGATGCGGCGGATCTTCAGAACTTAAAGGGTTAGTTCACCCAAAAATGAAAATTCTGTCATTAATTACTCACCCTCGTGTTGTTCCAAACCTGTAAGACCTTCGTTCATCTTCGGAACACAAATTAAGATATTTTTGATGGAATCTGAGAGCTGTCTGACCCTGCATAGACAGCAACACAACTGAAATGTTCCCAAGTCCAGAGACGTAGCAAGGAGATCTGTAAAATAATCCATGTGACATCAGGGGTTCATCCACAATTATACAAAGCTACGAGAATACTTTTTGTGCGTAAAAGAAAAAAAAAAAACGACTTTATTCAACAATTTGTCTCCTCCACATCACCCTGGTGCCATTTTGGAGAATATCAGCTGGACGTAAACAGCGTATGCTGCTCTGTGTCAGCTGCGTCACGCCGGATCTGTTTCCTACGTTGTTTGTAGAGCCCGACCGATATGGGTTTTTCAGGGCCGATACCGATATTAGGGGGTAAAAAAGGGCCGATATTGATATATCGGCCGATATTCTTTGTGTATATTATAGTACAGTACCAGTCAAAAGTTTGGACACTTTCCCATTCGAGGGTCCAAACATTTGACTGGTACTATATATAGAATTAAAAAATAGAAAAATAGAAAATTTTGTGTTTGTGTTGTTTTGTTGTCTTTAAGTGATATTTTTGTTTTATGTATGTACTATTTTAGTATTTATCAGTATTATTTTCAAATATACTGTAGTTTACATTTTAGTATGTATGCTTTTTTGTAATATTTCTATTTAGATTTGAGTTTTTTCAGTTTTAGTTTTACTGTTTCAATCTTAACTTATTTCAGTTAATTGCAAAGGGAACATTTGTCATTTTCTGATTTGTTTTATTTCAATTAACGAAAATTATTTTTGTATTATTTTAGTTAACATTTCTGAATTTTAATTAAAAAAATTTTTTTTTTAATTTCAATTAACAAAAATGTGTTTTTTATAGTTTTAGTTAACATTTTTGAATTTGAACTTTTTATTTTGATTTTTTAACTTTTTTTTTTCAATTAAATTTTTTTTTATATTTTTAAAATCACTATATATATACTCTCTCTCTCTCTCTATATATATATATATATATTATATAATACCATTAAAATCTTTTTTTTCCCTTCATAGTTAACAAATTAATACATTGTAGTTACTTTATTTCATTCATTCTCCAAACCGATTGTCCTGTGAAGTGTCATTAATTGCTTAGAATTAAACATTAAGTAAACATATTCATTGAAATAATATGCATAAATACTACTATTGATTTGTATGAAAATGTTTGTGTGTGTAGAAATTATGTTTCGGGAATCCACTGGCTCCTCAGGCTCTAGAGGATGTGAAGACAGTCGTGTGGAAGAACACCAGTGATGGAGTCCAGGACAACGGACTCACACTCAACGGTAACACACTTTACGCGTATATTCATATTTCAACATCATAATTAATGATGATCACTCACTCTTTCACATGTGTTTGTGTGTTTTCTGTAGGTTTCTTGTTCTTGAACACTCTCTTTATCCAGAGGGGACGTCATGAAACCACCTGGACCATCCTGCGTAAATTCGGCTACGACGACACGCTCGAGTTGACTGATGAATACCTCTACCCACCGTACGTCTGTGCATGTAAGAGCATGAACAAAAGCCAGTATTGAAGTGACCTATATGTGTGTGTGTTTGCAGGTTACGAGTATCGGTGTGTTGCACGACGGAGCTGAATCATCTGGGTCATCAGTTCCTCCAGAAGCTGTTTGATAAGTATGACGAGGTGAGCTCGCACATCTGATCCTCTAATGAACTTTGTGTGATTAGAGGTTCGTCAGGCTGATGCTTGCGACTCTCCTCCTGCAGGATAAGGATTCAGCTCTCTCTCCCGCTGAGCTGAAGAATCTATTTAGTGTTTTACCCTACATGCCCTGGGGCCCGGAGGTGTACAGTAACGTCCCCCTATCAGACGACAACTACATCTCACAGCACGGGTACTTCTGCCAGTGGATGTGAGTCAAAATAGATAATTTTTCTCACTGGGAGTCACTTTAATGTGTCATAAAAAAATTAATTTAGCTTTTGATGATGATATTCTGGTGGGTATTAATATACATTTCCCCTCTTGATTCAATTCTGATTTGATTAGTTTAAAATATTCCATCACTGGAAGTACTGCTCTGGTGAATTCATTCAGTAAATCACCAGATTGAATCATACAGCAACTCTTGTTTTTGTGAGCATTTTAGAATTATTCATTAAAATGACCCGATCGAAAGAGTCATTTGTTTGTGAATCAGAGACTGGTTGCTCTGTGTTTGTGATGCACTCCAAAAAAAATGTTCATGAAAGTCATTTGTTTGTGAATCGGGCTACAGCGGCTTTATAGGAGTCATTTTATTGTGAATCAGACTACAGTGTTTAATTTATGATTGTCTTAAAACCTATTAATAAGAGTCATTTGTTTGTGAATTGGACCTTGCTGGTTGCACTGTATGCTTAAAAGAATCAGTTCATAAGAGTCATTTGTTTGTGAATCAGACTACACTAGTTGAGCTGAATGTTTTATGATTTACTAAAAAGAGCCAGTTCATAAGAGTCATTTGTTTGTGAATCAGACTACACTAGTTGAGCTGAATGTTTTATGATTTACTAAAAAGAGCCAGTTCATACGAGACATTTGTTTGTGATTCAGGCTACAGTGTTTGCACTATATGTTTATGATTCACTAAAAAGTACTGGTTCATAAGAGTCATTTTTCATGAATCAGACTACACTGGTTGTGCCTTATGCTTGATTTACTAAAAAAAGTTCATAAGAGTCATTTGTTTGTGAATCAGACAACACAGGTTTCCACCGCAGTGTTTGTTTATGATTCACTAAACAGTGCTGGTTCATAAGTCATTTGTTTGTGTATCAGACTACACAGGTTGTGCTGATTGATTATGATTTACTAAAAAGAACCAGTTCATAAGAGACATTTGTTTGTGAATCAGGCTGCATTGATTGCACTATATGTTTATGATTCACTTAAAAGAACCAGTTCATAACATTCATTTACTTGTGAATCAGACAACACAGGCTGCACTGCAGTGTTTGTTTATGATTCACTAAAAAGTACTGGTTCGTACGAGTCATTTTTTCATGAATCAGACTTCACTGGTTGTGCCATATGTTTACGATTCACTAAAAAAAACAGTTCATAAGTGTTGATTGTATTTTAATCATTCTACACATGTTGTGCTGTATAATTATGATTCACTAAAAATAATCAGTATGAATCATTTGTTTGTGAATCCTGCTACACGGGTTGTGCTGTATAATTATGATTCACTTCATGAGTCATGCGTTTGTCACATGTATGTATGTATGTTTATGATTCACTTAAATGAATTGGAATATTATTAATACGCACTCCCAATTTGGTAGTTATGGTTTTAAATTTGATGTGTTATTGAATAAACACAGGTTATCGGCTTATCTGGATGTCCACCGGTGTTTGGAGCATCTCGGTCACCTCGGGTATCCCATTCTAATGGAGCGAGAGTCCCAGACCTCCGCTATCACAGGTAATGAGATCCTCTCACAGTCCTGCTTTAAACCCCACATACGTTTGATCAGATGGATTCTGAAGAGTCTTTCTGTCTTTTTCTGTGTGTATGTTAGTAACAAGAGAAAAGGCATTAGACCTGGAGAAGAGACAAACCCAGCGCACTGTGTTCCTCTGCAAAGTGATCGGTCCACGCGGAACAGGAAAGACCGACTTCCTCCGAGCTTTTCTGCAGCGAAGCACTGAGGTGAGAGAATGATTTGAAAGAAAAACCACTGTTTGTAATTTTACTTGACAGAATACTACATGAAGCCAATCAGAACAAATTGCCTTCGAATCAGAGCCAATCAGAACATATGTAATGTTTAATATATTTATGTTCCAATGAGATTTATATGAAAGGGGTCATATGATGTTGCTAAAAAAGAACATTATTTTGTGTATTTGGTGTAATGAAATGTGTTTATGTGGTTTAAGGTTCAAAAAACACATTATTTTCCACATACTGTACATTATTGTTTCTCCTCTATGCCCCGCCTTTCTGAAACACGTCGATTTTTACAAAGCTCATCGGTCTGAAAAGCGAGGTGTGCTGTGATTGGCCAGCAATCCAGTGCATTGTGAGTGGCCGAATACCTCAAGCGTACCTCTACCAGGAAACAGTCCTCTTCCTCCGTAGAATGCGTTGCACACATCTGAATATTTGGGTTGAACTGTTCTGGAACGGTGTTACATATGCCCCCTTGGGAAAAAAAAAAAAAAAAAAAATGCAGTCTAATCAGAGGCAATCCGAACATATTTAATGCTTAATATATTGTTTTATTTATTTTTATATATTTTTAGATACCAGTTCGATTTTTATGAACTCAGTAAATAAAATACAATTAAAAACTGCAGTCAAGTCAAAGCCAATCAGAAAATATTTAATGTTTAATTTTATATTTATATTTCTTTTTATTTAAAAAAATATATTTTTATTTACCAATGACATTTTTATGAACGAAATTAAAAAAAGTAAAATGGTTGCTTTATCATAATTTTTTTAATATATTTTTTTCTATTGTACAATGAAATAATAATAACCAGGGTATTTACATTAATATAGTTACAAAATAGTGCTTGTGTTTCTTAAGGCAGTTTTACTCTAGAAAGAGGTTTTCATGCTTTACTTCTGTCTAGGTAATATTTATGTACTTTGCAACCCCCAATAGTCTTGGTTAGATCTACCAAATATTTACAAATCTATTTTGTTTAGGGATGCACCGATATGAAAATTTTGGCCGATACCGATAACCGATAATTCTTTATTTTTGAAAGCCGATAACCGATATGTTGGCCGATAAATCTATATCCAAATTTTTATATACTTTTTGAGAGCCTGATTACAAAAAAGGTCTCATCATTAAAAGCCACATCCCAAACACTTCAACATAAGCAGCCTAGTTTGAACGGTGTACGTTTTAAAAATAATTTTACTTTCCCATTACCAAATTTAGTCATAAAAAAGTCTTACAAATAAATAAAATAATGCATAAATAATGCAAACAAATGAGCATTTATCGGCCGATACCGATATGGTGGCCGATATATCGTGCATCCCTAATTTTGTTCATTTCAGAGAAACGAGCGCGACCCCGGTCCCCCCACAATATACGCCATCAACACCGTCTCAATAGCCAATCAGGACAAGAACCTCATCGTAAGTGCCATCTCAAGCTTTACACAAACCCTAGTTTATTGGCTCCCGGCTGACGTGTGTGTTATTTCTCGCAGTTGGAGGAGGTGGACGTGGAAACAGAGTTTCTGAAAGCAGCAGATGCAGCGTGTGATGTGGCGTGTCTCATGTATGATGTCAGCGACCCGGACTCCTTCAACTACTGCGCTAGTATTTATAAGGTACGAAACCACCACACATGCACAAGATGCTTTAGTTCTGGAGTAATGTGTGACAAACTCTGACACACGCCTCACTCATTAACCACATTAAAATTGGATCATCCAACTGATTTAATAAACCATAATGACCTTGCACAAACTGATATCTGTCTTATTTATTTCTCCTGAAGGCTAACATAAAATTAAATCACTTCAAAGGACAGTATATATATATATATATATGTATATATTTATATATTTAAAATTTTTTTTAAATAAAAATATTTAAAATATATATAGGCTGCTACTAAATTTGAATTAAACCGCTTTAAAGAATGAATATAAAAACTAATGACTCACTCCGACTTTGAAACTGCTTTTGTTTTCGGGTTGATGTTGCCAAGTCTTCTTATTCTTACACCCACAATCCAATCAATTCCTGTTTAATAAAATTACCTACTTTTTTCATTGAATATCACATGCCACTTGTAAATATTTCTGTTGAATAAAATGGGTTTCAAACGTTGCCTGTTGACTTCAAAGATTTGCAGATGCCAGACTAAAATTAGCCTGCTTGGCTGGATGTGTGTCACCAAGGTCACCAGAAATACTGAGTGTATTTAAATCTCTCTCTATCTTATGTCACTTCCTGTCTGCAGGCACCTGAACGGATCAGACATGAGCAGCACGTCTTTCTGGCTGCGTGTGACTCTGGGCGCCACAATAGCCGCCATGCTGGGCTTCGCTCTGTACAGAGCCTTTAGCCGACACAAATGATGCAGACACAATACATGCAGATAAACACACACTCCCTCGTTTCCTGTGCTCTGTCTTGGCCTTACTGAGTCACTGTGGCTTAACAAGGGCATGAAGCTCTACTAGTTACAGTGACCACAAAACAATTAAGCAGATGTTTGTTTGTTTCTTCTCAGCTGGACTAAAGTATTGCACACACACTTTGCTTTTAATACAAAAAGTTCCCGATCTTACTGTTTGACTGACATCGGTCGACCCCAAGAGACATTTTTTTCATCATGTTTTGAGGGGAACAATATCAAGAAATGATTTAAAAGGTTACGTTTTGAATTGTACAGAGTTTGTAATGTATTGAATTGCTTGGGAAATCAGTGTGGATCATAAATATATTCCATGTGAATTCGTATTCTGTTTCTGAAGCGTGTTCAAAGGCATCTCAGTGTTGGGGTCGGTTATTGAGTTTTACCTCAGCCAGTTCAGGAAATGCACTTAAATGTAATTTATCATTCACCCTCTTAAAATGTTTTAGAAACTAAAGAAAGTTCTGGGTTAAATAGAAGTTAAAGGAATAGTTCATTACCTGAAAATTGACTCCCACTCAGACCATCCAAGATGTATATTTGGCAAAATTTAGCAACACTTGCTCAGCAATGGATGCTCTGCAGTGAATGGGTGCCGTCAGAATGAGAGTCCAAACAGCTGATAAAAACATCACAATAATCCACACCACTCCAGTCCATCAGTTAATGTCTTGTGAAACAAAAAGCTGCATGTTTGTAATAAATCCATTATCTGGAAACCATCATTTCTGGCCAAAATATGAATCCATAATCTATTATAACGCTTCCTCCAGTGAAAAAAGTCTATCCTCTGTTGTCCTCTCATCAAACTCCACACACACATTTGATTAGACCTCTTTTGGACTGTAAACGGTGTTTAATCTGTGCATATTTCTCTCTTGATTCAGACGAGATGTGTTTTTCACGGGAGGAAGCAGTATTATGAATATTTTATTCCGAAACAAAGGTTTGAATGTAAAAAAAAAATA